TTTTTTTTTCTTTGCAATATTGTTTGATGTTTCAAAAGATACTAATTTTTTTGAACAAATGCGGTTCATGAAATAACAGCAATAATAGTAACCACCAACTTATAGAAAGACAAAAAGGGCGTCGGATTATCTTTATGTGAATGAAAAAGTCACTCCATTGCTGGTAGCAGAATCTAAACGTTTTTTTTTGTCCTTTGCTAACCAACTTCTAACTACAGAAGGATATAAACTGATGTTGATTAAACAGTAGTTGATCATCAAATTCAACAACAGTGAACTCAATGAGGATTCAATGATGCAACAGCAACCGCTACTGACAGGATATTTTCCGCATAGGGAGTAACATGAACAGCCAATGCAAACTGTGCTTGACGATTAGAGTTATTATGCAAATTTAGATTCATCACCTCTTCAATTAGATTTTCAGCCGAGATATATCGTTGTTGCAACACCACAGCATTTATCTTATAGGAAGCCTTTAATTGTGCTAAACGATTTTCCACCTCTGAACTGTTCATCGTGCAAGTCATCTCGGCCAAAATTTCACGAAGAATTCTAAAGAAAAAAAACTGAACAGTAGTGACCGTATTTCAACGTTATTAACGATCAATAATATTTTCGATTGCTATAAACTTATAGTAATAAAACTTCAAATTGAATCTAATAAATTACAGTGATGAGAAAAAAGAAGAAGAAAAAGAGTTTTTTCGATTAGTTTACCGCTATACTATCACTTTTCATTGAAAATCATAGAGAATAAAAAAGAAAAAAGAAAAAAAAGATTACCACTACAACGAATGAAAGGAAAGCTTTAAAAAAATTAGATCTGTGCTACTTTGGTTGTATTCGTACATCAAAAATGTACACATATAAAAAAATTTTTCAATTTTTTGTTTTAGGAAAAGTCCTTGTCAAGCTTTAAATTGCTGCAACAAATTTGCCGCTTCAAGAGTCCTTTCTGCATTCAACGCAAATTTTCGACACATAAAACATCGAACAAAACGATACAGTTCTAGACAGTTTTATTACATGCTACAAAAGCATGTCTTAAGGTCTCATGACAACTTTTACCTACTTCAGTGCTTTTAAAAAAACTTAAAATACATCTCATGCCTTCAACTCCATGCATTTTTCTCGGTGTCAGCATACTTGTTGAATCTACGAATGAGATGAGGGTCATAGCACCAGGCAGAACTGGGTAATCAAAATATACCTTGCCGCCAGTAGATTCCATTGCGGAATCCCGTAAAGTCTCGATTTATCAAATTTAACTTTAATTGCTCGTTCAAGTGTCGAACGTAGTTCAATAGTTGTTTCTTTGCTGAGAGTGGTATAAGTTAACGCTGCCGGTTGCATCGTTCGCACATAGCTTTTATCCTTTTCCAACAGTGAGAGCCAGTAATTCTTGTTCTAAACAAATTTTTTTATCAAGGATATCTTAATAAACTAAAGCCAACAATTTCTTCTATAACACCAAACAGTTAGTAACATTTTAAAGTAGGCGCTTACCTCAAAATTAAAATTAACTTGACTAGGATGATCATAGGATTGTATGTTACCAAAAATGTTTTCTTCAGTAATCACTGTACCAACAGATATTAGTGGGCAAAGCGGGTCATCACGAGAATAAACAGTACCATCTGACGGATTAAGAAGAGTAAATTTTTGTTCAAATTTGGCCAATACATAAGCTGCCTTTGAGCCTACAACTTGCAGTGAAATGATGTCAATAAGTTAGACTTTACGAAAGTAATATTATTCCTTTTACACCTCCACAAAAGTTGTCAAAGGTTTTTCTTCTTTGCTGAAATGTTCCTTAAGAAATTACTTCTTGGTTTGGTTAGTGTCATAAAAGTCAGTACTTTCAACAGGTTTACAAAGACCAAGACGGAGAAACTTCTTTCTCTTGAAAAGAAAAACGAACCTCAGATCTGGTTACTATAAACAAACATTAGCTCTAGTGTAAAAGTACTTCTAGCTAAAACTTCCACGTTACGATGCAAAGCCGACTACAATTCACAATCAGCAACAACACCAAATTATGAGATATTACTCGGCAGTTGTAGTGGGCGCAGAGGATGGGTCTTAACCATTGAGGCCAAGCACCGAAGGTTACCCGCCTGATTCTTTTACTCCAACAAGCATTCACAGCTGTGCTCATAACGGTCACAGCAGTGCCAAGAGAGGAGTTTATTTTCACCCAACCCAGTGCTGAACAACACATCAACTACGTGAAAACCGCCACCCTTCCCACTAAACTACTGACGACCACCAATCTCTCCCCCTTCGTAGTGCAAATATTGATGGTTGGCAAAACCTTAGCTACATCATGCAACTGTGTCTACACAGTTTCGGAATAAATTATATAACGGATGTTCAGTGAATTAAAAAGCTTCTCCTGTGTTTATTGTGTAAGCTCAAAATTAGGAAATGAGCTGCAATATCCTACCTTCTGGAAATGCAGTCCCAAGAATCAAATAGCATTCAATGTTAGCAGCTAATAGCCAACAACAAAGCAGTACGGCATGTTCTCCTTCGTCTCCACATCCAGTCGACATAAACTGAAACCCATAATCGTCCATTATGCTTTAATTTTTGTTTTTTTACACTATTCAATCCTTTTTATTTGTTTTACACCTTTAAAAATGTCATTTTTTCAAAACGAATAAAAACACGTATGAAACTACCCATTATTTGGCTAACCTGATCTAAAGTTGCCCATGTGTCAGCAAAACCGTTTACTGGTAAATAATCGTTGACAAATGGAATGCAGGAAGCAATATAACAAACCTTTTCTGCATATTTAGGTGATGGCTCAATAGCAACGTTTGGTGGTGGTTCAATAGAACGTAAATACCTTAATAGTTCAGTTAATTATAAAATAACTAACCTTATACAGTTTCCAACATTTGATCTTTACTTATCAAATTTAGTAACGAGAACGTTTTCAAGACTGTGAAAATCGTTTAGCCGTAATTTTACCTGTTTGCTAGCGTATATCGACCAGTGGAATCTAATACCAAACTTACGTATCTACGATTCGGAAACTTTTCAATTAAACTTCTTCGCCACCTCATACATCGAACGGTAACCTGCGCTTACAAGATTAATAATTAACTTAACAGAAATAATCAGATACATTACTACACATCCATCTAATTACTGGGAAGCTTCCTTAAGCAAGAAAGGAATTTTTCTGAAGTTTTTACAGGAACTTACTTATGAGCTTTTCAGAATAATTTCTATAACATCCATGAAAATAGAGCCAGCTGTCAGCATAAAAGTAGCTTTTATGGCTACAACGATTTTGAAGAGAAGAAAAATTAAATTTATGAATGACGTCCGTTTTGGAAAAGGAAGAATCATTAACCTGTTCAGATTCATTACTAAGTGTATGGTTTGGTAGATCTGGTGATTTCCGACAAATTTTTGGCAACAACATTACCAAAACTTTTATATAACATGAACCAGTTGGCAACCTTAAAGAGAAGTTTTTTGTCAAATGTTGAACCCTGTTTTAATGACTGCTTCTCAAATAAATTTTTTAAAAATTTCAATAACTCTGAACGGCTCACTTATACGATGAAAGAAAATTTGCCATATCAACGCGTAAATAGCCATCGATTTTATCATTAATTTTAAAAACTGAAAATGGAATTTTTACACTGCCGATATAACGTTTTTCCAACTGTTCGTGAACCGTATTTGGTTCTCGATCGTCACTGTCGAGCTTTGATACTACCTATTGTAGGTTAGATCACAAAATATCACAAAAACAACAAGAAAAAACTAAAGGCACTTTACTGTTTTAGAAACTCCACATTTTTTTAGTCACTGAAAAGCCAAAGTTTACTTGATCAAATAGGGTCAGTTGTATCTTATCGTTGATCGCTTTGATATTTGACCTTTCTTTACCCAACTCTTCTAACAAAATTTCTGCACTTTCCTGCCAATTCGGATTGTTTCCTCCCACTGGTTGAGTAGTGGCTCTTTTTTTCTAAATGTGAACCAACATTTTTATCATAGTTTATTGTAAAAAAGCAATTAGTCGAGTCTAAGGAACTATAAAATCCACCCGAAAAGTGATTTCAACAAACGGCTGTAATTTCCCATCTTGTCTGACTGGAAGGTTTACAGCAGACTGGATGTTTATGACTATTCGATAAGTTGAATCAGTGCAAAACTGGAATTAATAAACAGTTACAACAATTTTTTAAAAGTTTTTTAAAGCTTTCTACAAATTTAATCAGTTTTCTCACTTGAGATAATCTGGATAGTTTTAAAAAATTGAGTTATTAAGAACTAGCTAAGTCTTAATAGATCTTTATAAACGTTTACCTAAAGCGATTATTAGCACAAAAAAAAGCAATATAATAAGCTAACTTTCCTCATTATGGAAACTGTCTTTAATTATTAAGTCAAGAAGGTACACTGCAGCTAATGAAAATCTGATTTTTCTGCTGCTAAGTAACCAACATCACCTGATCATTTGTAGTTGTCTTTCTCATAGGCTTTAGTTTACGAGACGTATCGCTACCACGATTAAAAATTGTTGTAAATGCGGTAAACAGTGTTGGGACAGGTTCTTCTCGAACAATTTCTTGGTATCTTTCAGTCTCACGATCTTTAGAGAAAGATTTGTAAAGCTGTAATCTGAAATATTTTCCACGGTAATATTAAATGGGTTGACTTTGATAAAGTTTTAACATTTGAGGAAACAAATTGATTTTACCTGGTGGAAGCTACTAGGTTACACCGGGCTCGTCGCATCTCATCCATTCGCGAAAGCCCAACGCTTTTGCCAGGGTTTTGAGAGTCTAAAGCAACCATGTCCCTCTCTTCAAGTTCGTTTAGAATCAAATTAGTGTCAGGTGTTAATCTTCTGCGGGGATTCCTGAGAAGCCTGAATAACGACAGCGAGTTTGAGATAAAGCAGGATATTTTATTTGTAGACTACTAATTAAAAGCAGAAAAATTAGTGTTGAAATTACCTTAGATGATAGTCAAACTCTTCGTCGCTACAGAACCGGGCAATATCGGGTATCAGTTTAAAGGTACCTCCTCTTTCTTCGCTATTTATGAAAGAAAGTGGGCGGTTCCTACTGAACTTCTCATGAAAGTTTTCTGGATTTTCCCAACTAGCGCTACAATACAGAACCCCAGAAATACAGGGACGGTCATCACCACTACCTATACTACCGTTCTGGCTAAAATTCAAGCTTTTTAGCCCAAATTTTAAAACAAAAGTTGTTTCAAAAAATCATACCCGTTTACAACTTTGTTGCTAGCGAAATGAATAGGTTCTAGAGGTAGTTTAGATTTTTCAGGTAGTGGAATACCAAGTTTGGCAATCTCATAGGTATCGCCTGATGGATTCCGTTCATAAATAACTGCTGTAATAGACTCAGGAATTTCGTAAACCTAAAAATAGGCTTTTCAGGGAGAAATAACATGACATTTTTTTGCTTTTTTTCTTGCTAGACAAATGTACTTCACGTGTTTTATAAAAGATACCTGTAATTTATAAGTTTCATCGAATTTGGAACAGAAACTTTTGTTGACTGCATGGAATTTCGTTTTATAGACAGAAATATCATTGAAGAAAATTTGAATTTGAACACCAGTTCTACATATTTTACTCAAACGCTCTAATTCCTCTTTTGGTTTGTTATCACTTTGCTCCTCAATGTCAGTGATTGAATAGATCGGTGTTTCCATTAACGAGCGTATAAATTCTGAGAATTCTGATACAGTGCTGGAAAAGGAAAATACGAAGAACAGTAGCAATAACAAATTTAATATTTTATAAAAACATCAGTTTTTAGCAACCTGTCAAATTGATGGTTTTCGTCACTCGGTATTTGCTGCAGCTGTAAAGTTGTTGACGAATATCCCAGAGTTCTGCGTACCAACTGTAAAGCTTTCCATCGGTCCCCAATTAGTTGACTTAATCTGATATACTTTCGCTTTTTCTCATTCATCTCCGTAAAAAGCAAATCCAATTTAGATTGCAAACTAGAAAGTATCAGCTTCAAAAATATGTAATAAACAACAGGAAAAAGTTAAGATGCAAAAAGGAACAAAAAAACAATTACAAGTGTTTAAATTACCTTTTTTTTTCTTCCTCAAGTTTTGTTATATGATCTTGACGTTGTTTCTCATTAATCGCCTCCCGTAATAAAGTCAAAATTTCATTAGCTTTTGAAATTTGTACTGAATGCAGTTCCCGAATGCTATCACAGATCTGTAGAAATATGTACTATATAACAATAGATATTTAAATTAAACGAAAAACTGATAAGAAATCCAGATGTTACAAAAAACGGAAAATTTTGAAAACCATGTCTTCTTGGCTGAATAGCCAGTGATGTTTAAATAATAGTGAGCCAATGGAGATATCCAGTGGGATATATTTCTCAAAGTGAATCCGGGTGCCTATTGTATGCCAATCTTCTGCCTTCAAATAATGGCACTGCACAGAATCGTCATCACGTTGCTCAGGCTGAAAGTGCACAATTCTTACAAGGCTTGCGAGGAAAAGTTTTATCAGTATTTACTTCACTTTGCGACTGTTTAGCAAAAGACTTGGTGAAAGTGCTCAACCCTGCAACGAGCTGGGATCGAACCGGCGACCTTTAGATCTTCAGTCTAACGCTCTCCCGACTGAGCTATCATGGCTCGCCAAGCACCCCGGCACGGTATACTTTATGAAAAAACTTTTATTCTAAGGAAAAAAACTAATTTGTACGTAACAAGAAAGAAAATAAAACTTTTAAAAAAATTTAGGAGATCTCTCTATCAAAAACTAAAAATAGATGGTCAGAAGGATAAAAAAATTGTGATTAACTTCTTCTTTGGATCTAGAAAGGATTTTTTGGGAAGACTAAAAAAAGAAAATAGCTGCACAGACATTGCAGAAGAATGCTAGATTAAACCTATAATTAAAGTAGCCGCAAAAAAACTAAAAGACTTGCAAAAAAAATCTTTATACTTTCAAAGTGGTTGAACAACTAAAAACAAAGAAAAAAGTTATATGTCATAGCAAAAATATCACTGACAATAATTTGTTGTTGGCAAATCAAATAACTGGGGTAAATTTATAGAAGAAGAAGTATCTATATTTTCATTTTTTCAATTTATATTTAGGAAGTAAGTGTGTAATTTTGAAAACATTCTAACAATTGAATAGATGTCTTTACTGTAGGTCAATGATATCATTACGAAGAGCAAAGTTATTTCCCCCAACTTCTTAAACAAACCTAGAGTAGAGAAAGTAGGAAGTACGCAAAATAATTTTTAAAATTGAATTTTAACTGACTTTTCAACAAAATTAGCACCAGATTGATGAAAAGTCTCTAAAAACTGTTGGCAATGCAGTATAAACAAGAAGACAAAGATCCAGACCCTGAGTGGCTTTGCATTAATGTGTTGAGAACCGTCGTCAATTCCGTCAGCAAAAAAGTCATGACCAAATCTTTGGTTCAGTAACAGCGTATCAAGTTTACTTCTTGTTGACAACAAATTTTTTCCACAGTTAACGCTAAAAAAAGTGGCTTCTCAGAGAATTAGTGAGTATTAGAAAATTTATTCTTAACAGCAATAAAATGGCAACATTACCATGGATACATTTCTTCGACTGACGCCACTATAAAAGATTTTCTTTGATATTTTACACACATCTGACTGAATTTATTAAGCTCATCGATACTTCTCGGTTTTGCTTTCAAGAACTGCTGTATCGATGCAGTGTCTTAAAAGATATCTGAGATGAGAAATTTTTAAGATTTAGAAAAAAAATAGTTTAGTCAAATATCATCATTCAACATAATTATTTAGATAAAAATTAAATGATGACTCTCAGCATTTTCAACATTTTCTGCACCGCTGCTTTCAGTTGTCTTTCTGTCGTCCATTGATTCATCTGGTGTGTTATTTCCCAACAAAGTGCCATTTGTGTCGCTAACAAATTTAGATCCTATCTGGACAAAAAAAAACTTTTTTGTAATTTTTGTAAGAAATAATGCCCTATATATATATGGGCCTTTCCATACCAAACCGCATACTTTCTTCCTTTCATGTCTCAGATTTTTTTAAAATTTTGCCGAT